TTTTGTTGCCAACGAAACATTTTTATCACAGATTACACATTTGGTACTCATTTTAAGGTTGAACAAATTTAAGTTTTTGTAACTAACGGCTATCGAGTTAGACTTGAATACGATACGCGCTATCACGTTGGTGCAATAATAGATATTTGACCGGCCCGCAACACGTCCGTCCACAACGAGCTCTGATGCATTACTAATGCATTACTAATTCCATATTAAGGTTTGAGGACATATATGCAAATGTTAACAAACAACAAAAAATTATGAGTATCTATCATCAACTTAACTAATTACTTAACACAAACTTAAGTTAAATGTCGATAAAGACAGGCCAAACAGCTGCAGATTTTCATTTCGAGATCTTTGAAATTCATTGTAAGTAATCATCATGCGTACAACAGGGGAATTAATATGGGCAATTGAACGTACATGCGGGATTTTGAAAAAAATTAAATTTGCTCTTGTTCTAGGATCCGGGACGTTGAAACCTATTAAAGAAAGTAAATAACTCGAATCAATTTGATTATTTAATAATTTAAATATAAACAAATCCCTTCTACGATCACTAAGGTACTATATTGTTGTACAATTTCGCTAAATCACGATAATGTTCATAGCGAGGATACACTCCTGGTGAATCTAAAGTGAAGAAATCTAATAAATTTACTCTGGATCATTTCAATTGCTGATGTGTGTTTATTAGTATAAGGTGACCAAATAATAGCTGCATACTCCAGCTTGGACCGTACGAATGCATACCTAGTATAGTATCGTTGAGTGAAGGTTTCTTCACTCAACGATAGTATATTGTAAGATTTCAAGGTTTTAAAAAATATTGTGACGATCGTAACACAAATCTTAAACTGGAATATGCAGCTTTAATCACATTTTTAATGTGCAACTTAAATGTCAATTTATGATCAAACATAACCCCCAGGTCTTTATGATTGCTTACAACATCCAGTAATGTCCCATGTATATTGGATTCGAATACAATGTTTTGTGCTTTCCTAGAAAAACGCAAACATTTACATTTTGCCACATTAAGGGGTAGTTCATTATCGCTACTCCACTGAACTATAGAATCAAGGTCTCTCTGCAATTTTGTACAATCCAAGACGTTTCTGATTTCATAGCTTAATTTTAGATCATCTGCGAACAATAAGACATTCGCATGCTTTACTACATCAACCAAATCATTAATTATAATACAAATAACAAATTATCTGCATACTGGACTACATATGATTAACAATTGTTTAAAAAGATGTATGGCAAAAGTGCAATTATGCGGGATACCGTTATTTATCATACTTATGTAACGTTTGGCGAAAGAAGATAATTAGCGGTTCGTTTCGGTTTTTACGGTCCTTGATTCGAGTGAAAACTTTTTGTGGAAGATCGCAATTGAAGAATTAAACGAAAATCGTTTTGATATGTTTGGAAAACTTGAACATGAATTTCCGGGGATACTTTTTGCAGGAGTCAATTTGTTTGCTTAGAGTTGTGTTTTGTAATCCATTCTGCAGGAAACCTGAAGACATGTCACTGGAGGAAGAAGGTATTTCGTCAAGCGCCCCACTAACATGAATTTCAATACCGAATTTTAAACAAACTTCTGGACTGTATATCCATGTGAATTTTGTGTAATAAAAGGATGCCAATACAGTTCAGATTTTGTTAGCTTTTCCAGGTGGGAGACGGAGTGCCTCATTAGATTATGTTAAAGTGGTACTAGTTTAAGCGCAAAGTAATTTATTATTGATTTCCCAAAGGAAAGACCGAGCTGTTGGCACCTGTTCCAAGTCACACACAAATCGAAGATTTCGTTTTGCATACATTTAACTTTATTAGTGTCATATAAACTGAAACAATTTGCGTAAAGAAGTATAAAATATTGAAAACATTTTTTCGTTATTGCTTACTAAGTGATGGTCCAACAGATTCACCTTTATAAGAAGTAGCTGTAGTATCTTAGTAAATAGCAAACTTGGGACCTGCAAAGAAAATTGATGCCACATTCTTTTTTTGTTCTTATCAGCCACCCTTTGGAAACATATTAAATGAAATAAATAATCCACAGGCTCCTAACGAGCGAAAAATAAACCACATATATTGAGAATGAATTCCAATTTTAAAGCGCATTAAAATATTAGTTAGTTAATTAGTTATTATTATACTTTACATACTGGTAGTGAATTTTCTAGTGTGGTATCGGGATTAGTCACCGGCGATAAGGAATGAAAGCTTTCAGTTTGCTATATGAACAAATTGAATTGTGTCTAGTCTCAGTTTAATATCCACGCTCAAGCGAAATAATCAAATCCGCTCTGGTATTTTAAATTTATGTGTTATAAGTGTAAATAAGTGATAAATAATTAACTGTTATAAATTCACTAATAATAGATCTTATATTGGCATATGCAATGGTAAACGCTCATTAAACCGCCCATAAGCAACTGTCCAGCGAGCTGAATTAAACACAGATACTAACCAAGTCTTTTATAAGAAGTAATTTCAATTTTTCAGGGCACGTCCAGCATCCGCCACTACGAAAAATCTCGATAATACTTTAATTTTATCAAATTTGAGAAAACTCGACAGTCTTGATTAATTCCACAATTCGAAACAAATTAATAAACTTTCATAGCACTGGGTATCAACAGTATGAGAACTCTGATCTAGATCGTAATTTGGTATCGATTAAAGACAACATAGAACATCTACAGATAAAACAAATTTATTAGACAAAATCAACTAAGTTGAAAGAAAATAGGTCAGAATACACATACCACTCTACAAGCGATCGATTGAAATGGTTAGTTAAAGAGATCTCAATCACCTTAAATTGTGCTTTCTGTAACTAATGATGATATTGCTTCGAAACTTTACTTCTTTATTTTAATTATTGCACTTTAATCTTGATTTAGATGACCTTGGGTTGATTGTATTTACTAAAATTAAATTGGCCCTTACTCCCTCTAATAGGTACTGGGAAAAACGGCACATAAGACATAAGTGATAAACACTTCGAATAAACGCTTGGGCTCGAATTAAACTGCACATTTTAAATGACGGAATAAAATTCCTTTAAACAACTCACAGCTGCCTTGTAATCAAAAATACGTTCAATTACCGCTGACTGCGATCCACCAAAAACCGCCACCACCAAAAAAGCAACGATTAACGTCTGCCACTAGACGGTTCGCTTATTTAAAACACTCTTCTCTTTCTTATCCAATTTCCGAACCATCTCCCCCTTCTTATCAAAATTACTGCGTCGTCGAATAACTACCATCTGTGTTTGTGTCTTCGAAAAAACATCTCTTTATTTAAACTTCATGAGCTCAAGTAGCGATAACGCTCTTATCGCAAGGATAACACAAGACAAACTTTTACAGAACATTATACGCAAATCGATTTAAATAAAAAAGGCCATTATTAAAGGACCGTTCATTTATCCTTAATGAATAACCTTTTTTGTAATACATACATAATATCCCTTTTTTCTTACCTCAGTTAAGTTGGCACCGTTGCCGACTTGCGTAGCTCAGATGAATTTACGTTAGTTACGGCAACTTTGGCTACAAGGGTCCTGGGTTCGAATTCCACATAAGGCGTGGCTGTGTGTAATTCTATAGTGGTTCGAGTGGGGAGAGTAGGTAGCTATTAACTGACACTCATCCCACTAAAATAAAGGCAAAGAGTAACTTATTCTTTGATAAAGGCAATATGTGTATTATAATATTTGTTCGAATTTCGCACCCCGGTACACTAAAAATATTTAAAAAATCAATATATTGCGATTATCACATCTTCCTTCTTTCCACTATGATTCTGTCTTTTGCATGTCGTTTACGTAGAGATTAAATAAGGTTGAGCTAAGTGTACATCCTTGTCCTAGTCCTTTACATGCCCAAAGCACTTCAGACTCTTTTCCTAAAAAAAACCTGACAATTCTTGGGATCGAATAGAAAAATTTGACATGAAAACTCTATTTGGATCGCACTTTGGGTTCGATTAATCACACAGTTAAGTAATTAAAAATTTCTTCCGCATAACAAAAAAGAAATTAAAACAACAATGCTGGAAGAAGACATACCACGCATACAGGCGTTTGACAAACAATTAAATAAATAAATCTTAATTACATACAGTTTTACAATAGTCCAATAAATCCAATCCAATAAATATTTGTCCCGTATTTAAAAGATCCACTACTTCCACCAAAACATAATCTCCTTCTTTATGATGAATATTCACATAAGTTGCCAATCAGAACAAGACTTTCATAACATCAACTCTAATTACGCTACTTAAACACGGATGTTACATTAGGTATACCACAGGTAAGAAAAATATTCGCATGGAAAATATAGTTTGTGGTCAGTGTAATTATGCCACGAACAGTGAGGCTGTTTTAAAGCTTCACCGACGTAAGAGAATGTCTGCGAGTGTATACGAGTGCGTTGGAAATTGAATGATAGATTGGCCTCTTTATTTGTAATTAGAAAATTAAGTTAATCACAACTACACATGCCATTTGTAAATTACATCAGCGCCTCCATTGTTCATCTGAATCGCGAATAGGGAAAGGTTTAATTACTTCTCTGATCAGGATGTACCTACCGTAGATAAGCACTCGACACAAACAGTTCTGTTTTTAAAAGTTTATACAAAATGGGTTGTCAGAATAATTTTAATTGTAATTATTCCGGAGGGTATACAAACTGAAACGCGAATATTGAAAGTTGCCGCTCTAATGGTTTTGTAGCAAAAAAAGTTAAATTTGATGTAAACGCAAAAACGACCGGATAATGTGTTTATTGAAAGGTTAGTTGAATTACTTTTGTTCCGTCCGTAATACAGATAACCCCTTATTGACGTTTACATACTCATTTAGATAGAGGTCCTTTCAACCACATCCCCGAGTTAGGGATTTTGTATGTTAGCGGATTTAACCATAACTTCTTGACAGACAGTATTGTTTTTCATTTCAGATTCCGCAAGTCAGTTACGCTTCCACAAGCACAGAGCTGTCAGATAAATCAAGATTCGAATACTTCAGTCGAGTTGTGCCGCCTGATAATTTTCAAGCTCAAGCAATGGTGGAAATTATAAAAGAACTTGATTGGAAATACGTCTCCACGGTCGCGGTAGAAGGAGAGTATGGCGAAAAAGTAAGTGTTCATTATTATTCTCCTATACGATAAACCGGTCAAAAGTCTTGGGGTAAATTACATTAAGTGGGTACTTTAGAACTAACTCCAAAGGATATTAATAAATGCCTCTGGCTTAGTGTAGATTGAGAAACTAGTGCTCGCCGATAAGCAAAGTTTTAACCAAAGGGCGCCTAAGGGAAAATAGGAGAGAGACTTTTTAGTTGATTTAGTCTCCCTCTCGAAATTTACTACTCGCATAGATTAGATATTGAAAAGTTATATATTGTGTATCTTTACGGTTTTATCTAAAATATCAGTAATATTTGCTTCTCCGCGACGTTTTCAATAAATCGCTTTTCTGTAGTTCCTTAACCTATCCCTCGATTTGGCAGGAAGCAGACTTCTCTCAAATATTCCATTTCCTTTTCATATAAATCGGTTGCATATTTGTGTTGCTGCATTGATGTCAATACGACTCTGCTAGAAAAAAATTCCCAAGGAAGGTTACAATTATCCTTATCAGACCGGATCCTCTCAATTGGATGCCTTGTGAAAGTGACAAGCATATTCAGTTCGTTATGAAATCTACCTACCCTTGGAATATACTTATCACACGCGACTTTTTACTGGAAAATGTGTTATTTCACTTTCATTTTTGGTACAGTGTAAATTAATGTCGAAATTCATTACTGCGAGTGTACCGATATTGCAACCCATTTTGTGTTAATTTTGTTTTTTAACTATTTACCAATCAAATTCTAGTACCTTAAACCTTAACAACTCTATACCGTGGCCACATTTCCTTCTACCTGACCCTTAATTAAATTTCAATGAACACTAAGAAGAAACATAATTCTCGACTGGAATTAATTGAAATTACGTTAATTAAGATGAGAAATCAGCACTTCCACACTCAAAATTTTCTTTAATCTTTACCTGAATGAAAATTGTTTATTTTCACTTTCTTAATATTTGTTAGAAATTGTATTCACTTTCCCATTAGGTTAGTTACCTCTAAATTTTCTAAAATAATGAATTTATTCTTATTATGCGAATCCACACACAATCGACTTTCGATATGTTGTTAACTTCCAAATATTTGAATTATGAACGCAGCAGAAAAAAAATATTTCGAAATATGAGTGCTGTAAACTTTGACAAAAATAAATACCATCCAACTTGATAAATGGACATCTGTAAATAACAATGGTGGATTTCTCTTCGAAATCAATGCTCGCGAGACACAAAAAGTTGACAAATATTTCCATTTTATCAACTCTCCGTTGACCATCCTCGCCCTTTTTCATATGAAACTACATAAATTCGGATTGTACTTTTTGCAGTGTGGGTTTAGATGAAAACATAACTTATAAAGCACCACGAGCGGTTGAATAATCGAGTGCCTCAATTGTAATTAACAAGTACAAAATATAAAATTGAAAAAGGTTATTGAGGACTACTTTCCGGGAGTGCGTGATGGTTATTTATTATCCAACGTGAAAGCTGGGACACTACTTACACATCTGCGTAAAGTTTGGATCTGAGTGCATGGCACACAGTGTACGTGTAACGCCATTTGTCATGTGCCCGCTTATTTACCTTACGTTGTGATAACATTTATTCGAAAATTGTCTCATTTAATTAAACACCCTTCATTGTGTGCTGCGCAGAAACTTTATATTGCAAAGCGTACTATTAAAAAACTTGACATCTAGCGAGAAAAGTGGGCTACGTTTACTAGTAAACATCTTAGCCGAACTATTTTTAGTGAGATTAATTTTCAGAAGAGGATGCGAACTTGTGAGTTTGTAATCAGCGATATAAATTGCATCAACCGAGTTACCAGCCATTACCATTGTAAATCCTCATTATCGCACAATTAAATCTTCTCCACCTCTAGTAAGTTCTTCTATCTCTCTTAATACCCTGTTTATACCTATAATTTTGGTTTGTGTTTTATCTTTATAGGAAAGGCTGATCACGCCATAGGTTCGTTTGTTTAATTGTTGGACCAGTTAAATGTACGAAACTATTGATAAGATTTTCTGTTGATAAAATTTGCAGGTGTTTGTTTGTATTAAAAGTTAATGGTTTCGATAAGCAAACAAGTAATAATATTTTTTTTGCGTTCATAAACAGTGCGTCTTACCAAATGTGGAGGTAATGATAAGAAAAGAACGGATTTTCAGACATTCTCAGTTTTAACGGCGGGGGATAAGATTTTTGTAATTGTTATTTTAATGTTTTCTCTTGTGTGTTTGTGAACCTCGCAATTTTGAGTCTCTTGTTATTTTCGGCAAGCCGTGAAATATTTCAAGTGATTGCAAAAATAAAGCAATTACATTTTGCTTTAAAATGCACGTACTGTGACCCTCTCTCTCATCTATTTTGATCGTATTTTGTCGTGATCCTGTTCTCTGCGAGACATTTCAACATTTGGTAATTTTCTGGTCAACCCGTTACACAGGAATTATGCTTCGCACCCAATGTGGGATAGAATTTTTAGGTTTGTGTTTTTTACTTTTGTTCCAAAGGACTATTTGAGAGCTTAACGTCAATAAAAAACATAAAAAATAACGTGAATTAATTTGAATTTTTGGTCTACACCAAAAATGGTACTTGTTTCCCTGTAGGCACATATGCTCTTTGACCTTTCCGTGGCGCCCCGCAAACACGAACAAATGTTGATTGTTAATGTCTGGATCATTTGTTTTACACTCTACTATGTTCCGTTTATGTAATTTAATTACTTACCTTTGCGGCTAATTATGCAAGTTTGGAGATAAATCACTGAAAAAAATGAAATAATCAAATACAGGGTGGTGTTTTTAAGTGGATCATTAAAAGTTTCTCAGGAACGGTTTGAAATTTTAATTCGGAACTCATTACCTTTTTTGCATAATCGATCAAAAGGAATCATTTAAACACATTTTCATGATGGCCGCTTTTCCGGATGCCATTTTTTAATTCATGATAAAAATCAGTATGATCTTGTTAATATGATGCTATGTCTAACTGACATGGTTTCGAAGTTATTTGACATTTATGACATTTTTTCACAGTTTCAGAGGTTCAGAAAAATTAGTCACATCACTGTTGTCTGACAACTTAGCAAAATGTTTTTTTACGAACGGACAGCTAAAAATCCAAGCTGTTAAATGTTATTGTTTTGATTTTCAAATGTGTTTCGAAAATAATACAAATAATCGTTACAATTGGTTTTTGGTCAAAAACTTGAAATTTTCAAATGGAAACCATATCTTTATTATGCATTAATGGAAAGAGCATAAAAAACGGACAAAAAAATGTACGTGCAAAATTTTTCTAAAGTGGACAGTTTTTTTTAGTTTTTTTTTTAGAAAAAGTTTGCAGTACAATTTTTTATTCGTTTTTCCCAATGTAAAGTAATTATTGTAAGCAGCAGTTTTCTTAATACGTATTTTTTAGGGCTTTACCTACCTTCAAAGTTCCCTCAAACTTCTTTCTTAACTTCTTATTGTTTTCTCTTCTGGACTACTTTTCCGTTATTCTCTACCTGGATATCTACGATTCTTAATTACGTTATTTGTATCACTCTGAATAATTTGTCCATACTATCTTATTTACATTACAGTAAATTACATTGCTGTTATATAAAAATTTAATTATTTATGAATCGTAAAGTAGCTTTTTTTTGAGTTAACGTTCACGTGCATGCTTTTATACAGCTTTTGGGAGTGTAAAGTCATTATTATTGATCCTTTTGAGTATTAATTACGGTTATAGTATAGGATTTACCTGATTAGTGTCCGAAGTTAAACGTTCACAAAATGAGCACAAAATTACAGTAAAAGAAAATATCAGTGTTGTACTAAAGCGTGAAGTTGGAGTGTCATCAGAAAAAGTTGAATTACTCATTAACCGCCTGATGAGCACAAAATTATGTGCAATTTAAATACACGTGTTAATAAAGTAAGATTCCACTTGTATCTAGTAAACACGCAGTTTCCCAATCACAATAAATAGGTCATATAAATGGTAACATGCTCGGAATTGATTCAATTGTAACCCCCTCAACTACATTCTACAATGCGTTTTGATTGAATGATATATTGACTTTCTGTCTAAACATCTAGAATCCTAGCTATCAAACTGGTTAGAAGCGTCACTTTTAGTTGGTATTATTCAAATAAGAGCGATTTAATTTTCATTAAAAAACGGAATCTTCTACCTCCAGGTAAAAAACTACCCAATCCCACAAATTGCTCCGCATCGATCGTCCATTATGAGTAAATGTGTGGACGAGCTTTAACTTGTTTTGTGTTCCTGGAATTTCCTTAATTGTATGCGAATAACGAAAGCACGAGTTGAATATTTAAATTGCTTTTATTGGCATCGGAATGAAATCAGGATAACGTGATATAAATTGAATATCAGATTGTCAATTTGAAGAGAGGAAGAGGAGTTTATATTCCGCCTGTAGTACATAAGTAGCGTTATTGGAAAAAAATTCCGAGGTGTAAAAGAAACTAGTAATTCGATACCAGTACGGGGGTAGTGAATTCAAACCACTTCAAATGAAGTTGATCAAAATTATGGCCTCGGTGAGCGCAATTCTTTATATGGAATGAAATAAGCGAGTGCCTTTTTCCATTTGATTGTCTTCGGAGAACATTTGTAAGCTTTAAGAAGACTACACGTGTGATGGCGCGAACAGCTTTTCCTCGAGGGATAGCGCCGAGGGTATTTGACCGACCAAAGATCATGAAATGTGAAATTTATGTACACGTGTTACCTATGCCTTAAAGTAAACGCCTACATAAACAGTGATTTTGAAAACGTGTGCAAACTAAGCTACAAACTTTAGCGCTATATCCTCTAAACACCGAGAGATATTGCCATATAATTCATTGCAGAAATATTTTGCCTGCATAATCAAAGAATAATATTCAAATTACGATCTCCCGCGAGAGCGAAAGACTTAAAAAGTTGTAAGTGTAACGATCTTTGGGAAGTACAAATCGTTAGGGACCTAGCCA